AATAATGTAGGGAAAGTAGCTTTGTTCTGGGACTAAATCAAATAAATTAGTTAAATAATCTTTCATTTGTTGAAATTAAATAACAAATAAACTCAATATTCATAGATAATTCGATGATCTTGAGCTCCCAACCTTCATTAAAAAAAAAATCAGCTGAACAAAATGTCCATTTTATTGGTCCTCATGTATGTACCAGTGATGAGATACTTTTGGTCTAATTTTTATCGATTTTGACTGGTTTTTGATTGAAAATCATCGAATTTTCGAAATATCGAAAGTTACGGAATTTGAAGTCAAAAAACTTGATATGTAAAAAAAAAAGTAGGAAAGTATGTAGATTGTAACAAAAAGTATAAGTAATTTTATAAAAAAAGAGTGTTAATCTTTACATTTTTGAAAAAGATTCAGAGAAGACTTATACATCCATGGAGATAATGCAGCATTTGAAACCACTTAATTTTAATATATCATATGCATCTAACTTCATCACCTCAAATATCTCCGTTGTTTCTGGAGATATGAAAAAATTTTTTTAACAACGAGAAGGAAACAATAGTACAGTAATAATAATTTTTTTTTTGTAAATATAAAAATTTCGAAGATGTCAAAGTCATCTTCATTATTTAAATATTTTTTTTATTAATTTTGAATCAATCGTTAATCGATACAACTCAACGTATATCAATCTATGTAATCAAAAAATCTTTAGTTTAGTAAGAGATATTTGAATCTTAGTTCTATAAAATCTATCGTATGAAAGACAAAGAAAGACAGGGACAGTATGCACACAATATCTTTGTCTTTCGTGCATAAAATATATTAAAGCTAAACTAATAATTTTTCGATACACATAGATCAATATTTTTTTTTATGAAGAATATCAAGCTGTATCGATTAATGAATCAAAACCTTCCCACCTACAAAAAAAAAAAAAAAAAAAAAAAAAAAAAATCATTTCTGTCGTGTTATGGCCCACTCTGCGCTGAATAGCATTCGTCGACAAAATGTTTTCATGCCTCCGAAAACAACGGAAATATTTGAGATGATCCACACCAGGGAACAAATTATCTTTCATTCAGTGCGTAATCACGAACAGTTAAGAACCCCTAGCTCGAGCATAAATCACTCTGACGCACGTATAATTCTCCTCCTTCCTATAAGCCTCGCCACCTTCGAATAAAAAAAGGAACGAGTACGATGACCGTGCATGGAAGGCGAAAACAAGCAGCGCTTTTAACTACGTAATTATCCGGACAATCGGGCGCTTCCTGGTGCGCGCGAGGGCCACGAAGACGAGGAGGAACGGTTGCGCGCCGATTGGCGCCAGTAGCCTCCGGCGTTGTTCACTTCCACAGGATTACGAGAAGGATGCGATCGATGGACGAAAACGGCGCCCGAGAGGCGGCCGTGCACGTCGTCCGGTCGCTTGCTTCTCACCATCAACTTTTCCTACGTTTGTTTACCAGAGCTCTTCCTTCGATGTTCGTGGCCCCAGCGGCCATTAACTGTCCCTGCGCCATTTTCCGGTATAAAACCAGAAACTCCTCATTTCTTGGCCATAAGTCGTTGTATTATATCAACGGGTGCTTTCCAAAGTAGGCGATACCGCCCCCTGGTGGACGTTGAAACGATTCGAGAAGAGAAAAAAATAAAGGAACAGAAGAAATTTTGAAAAACCAGTTTCATCTTTTCGAGTACTAATACAAAAGAATCTCGACAATTACAAGAACCGAGCTAACAATAAACGAGGAATTGAAGTTGAAATTTTGACCGCAAAAGCAGAGATATCTACGCCAGAGTGCAAAAGTTTTTTAATTGCTTTTCCTTCGTCACATTTAGTGGATCGAAGCGGTCATAAATCTATTAACTGGCTGTAAATAATTAATCGCGGTGATCTAAGAATGCCGCTGACAAAGATAAATCCGAATGTTGACAAATTGACACCAGGCTCATCTTTCTCATTATTTTTAACTCTAGAATTATTTTAGTTGTTCGCGATTTTTATTTTAATATTATCCTTCGTTATTGTTGTAATTTTCTGCGTAGCGCGAGTGTTATTATTTTGCTGTGTCTTATTTGCAACAATATCTTTTCTTACTACCTACGTTCTGGAGAATAGATACATAAAACAATGCAAATTTGTCACTGCATTTTTCCGTTTGTCCATTTAAAAAAGATAGACTTTCAGTAACTTTTTATTTGAAAATGGGACGGTAAGGCAAATAAATTTGGCAACTCTGCGTTATACGATCAATTTATACTGAAACTATGAAACCATGATAGATGCTGCGCAGAATGTTCCACGTAACTGTAATTGTTCTGATAACTTTAAAAGTAGTCGTTTTAACGAAAATTAATTTAGAACGAGCACCGAATTTGCATACATATTGTCTGCAAGTATCGTTATAAGCGAAAATCGATCAACCCTGAGATTTCAAAAAATACAAACCTAGTTGATCCAATATCTCTTCTATATCTATCCAGTCTACATCAATATATAAACATGTTAGTGTAATATATGCGATATGACATCGACCTTCATTCTTTCAAATAATATAAATTTCAAAAAATATAAACCTAGTTGATCCAATATCTCTTCTATATCTATTCAGTCTACATCAATATATAAACATGTTAGTGTAATATATGCGATATGACATCGACCTTCATTCTTTCAAATAATATAAATTTCAAAAAATATAAACCTAGTTGATCCAATATATTTTCTACACCTATTCAGTCTACATAGATATATAAACATGTTGGTATAACATATGCGATATGACATCAACCTTTATCCTTTCAAATAATATAAATTTCAAAAAATATAAAATATAAACCTAATTGATCCAATATTTCTTCTATACCTATTCAGTCTACAATGATATATAAACATGTTAGTGTAACATATGCAATATGAGATCAACCTTCATCCTTTCAAATAATACAATTTTCAAAAAATATAAACCTAGTTGATCCAATATTTCTTCTATATCTATTCAGTCTACATTGATATATAAACATGTTAGTGCAACATATGCGATATGACATCGACCTTCATCCTTTCAAATAATATAAATTTAAAAAAATATAAACCTAGTTGATCCAATATTTCTTCTATATCTATTCAGTCTACATTGATATATAAATATGTTAGTGTAACATATGCGATCGATCTTCATTCATTTCAACAGATTTTAATAAATATTAAACTCAAAATGATCCCAAATTACAAACATTAATTGCGACAACATCCTTAATGATTAATTGCTGCACAGAGAATTACGTACAGATACGCGTGTTTATCGCATTGATTTATGGACAAGAATGTACAGAGATGGATATATATGCGGTTCGATAAACATGGTGAGAAGTACATACATAAAGGTGCAATGCGGATGGTGGAGCTGGATGTGCAGTTGGAATTCCGTAGGGTGAGTTGTTTATATAGGGCAAGATGCGTCAATGGGGTTACAGAGGGAACAAGCGATCGAGTTCTTGGAGAAATTGCGAGGAATAAAGCGGGGAATAAAGGAGAGGGAAGTAAGAATGGGAAACGTGATAGGCGATAGAGATGTTTTGATATGCGAACGAGGAATCAGGGCGCAAAGGGCAGAAATTAAGGGAGAAAAATAAACAGTGGCGGTGGAAAAGGAAGCACGATGTGAAAATAAGTCATCGTGCACGATTTCTGCGGGGAATAAAGGGTGCATACGTAATGCGCTTACTTAACCTCTTTATTCCGGTGGTCTCCTCCGAAAAATCGTTGCGCACATAACACGGCTGAATGAAACGTGCGTTCTATGCAGATATTTTGTTAATTTGATTATTAAGTTATTTATTTATACGCGAATAAATCGAAGATGTAATATACACGAGAATATATAAACAAGAGTCGGAATAATAAATACAATTGCCTATAATTTTGGAAACATTGCTTATAATTGCTGTATCGAGTAGATTGCGAATTTTTATACATTATAGAAATTACAAGGTACAGAAATGCACACAATGCACGCAATATGCAAAAGTAGATAAAGTGTATATCTATAGAGTACTTATTACGATATGTAGATAACATAGATTTCTATGTAGTTGGTACGTAACCAAAAACTTTTACGAAAAAAATCAATAACAGAATCTTATTCGTTGTTTAAGCTAAGGATGTTAATCGTAAAATATAAAAGAAAATTTTTCAAGGAAAAATATCGATTTTGTAAACTGTTTTCTTATTACAAATAACAACTACAAGTGACTGAAAATTGTCTTCATCGTCGATAACCATTACTGACGATGATAATTTTATTTCGGCCGCTTATCGATTGTTATCAATCAGGGGAATTTATTGCGGCTGCACGTGACAGTTACCGACGAGGGAAATTCTATTTCGGTTACTTGTGACAGTTATTAATAAGGAAAATTACGTTCACGATGGTATGTAATAAAGTATAAAGTATTGTTTTGTATTCGATAAAACAATTCTTTGCAATCGTGCCAAACACATTTTAAAAGCCATAAAGGTTACTTTCCAATATAAATCTCATATAAGGTGACGAAAAAAGAAGAACCAAAATGAATTTCCTTCACTGTTACGAGCAAATGAAATAGAATTTCTTATGCTGATGAATAATGAGTAAATAATGGTCATTAGTAACAAAAACAATTTTCTGCAACTTATCTGTCAATCAAAAACATTTTAATTGAAAAAATAATTGTTATCGTATGATTCTTTTCAGTTGGGTTACAAGAATACATAAAAATCCGCAGCTTCTACGCTTATGAGTTGATATTAATAGTTATAAAATTGTATAATATAGTTATAAAATTGTATAATAATACAATTATAATAAATTGTATAATAATACATTATATTGTACTATAAAATTGTATAATGTAAATTGCAATTTACATTAAAATTGTAAAATATAAAATGCAATTTAACATGAATCGAAGTCGAACACCAACTACAGTCCGTTTTAGAAAAATAAGCCTAGACACCTTTCTCCTTTAGCTTCTCTAAAAACACTTGAAGAGTTTTTGCCACTTGAATTATATGACAAAGTATCCAGGATTTGTATGATACCGGTTTCAAGGAAATTCAGACTATATTCGACAACGATATGGTTCTACATAATATTAATGAAGTATTTTCTTGCGCTGGAATGACGTGCCACGCACGTCGAGAATTTTTTGTTCCAAAATGTTATATTTTCTTATATTTTATATTTTATTTATTATCTTATATTATATTTATACTTTATTATCTTATATTTATATTTTATGTTTTAATATTTTCTCAGTTTTAAGTATATTTAAGTAAAACAAAATAAGCAAAACAAATAATAAATTTATTACTTCTCAATAATCTTCTATCCAGTGATATCGTATCGACGAGTTCAAGAAGAAAGCGACTAATTATTGTATTCGGTCACTCGTTACGGTCCGCGAACCAGTTGCAAGGGGTTAATTACAAATTACTTCATTAGCATTATGTAGAATCATTATCGATGTCGCATACAGTCTGAATTTCCTTATAATGGAGATATTTCCATTATTTTAGCCGACTCTTGTATGTTATAGTCATTTCATAATACCGTGCATACATTTCTATTTGTATGTTTTGTATCCTGCTTCGATATTTCTCAATGAACGGGTCTAACAAGTAGGAAAGCTCGACATGTATATGTGATACACGCTGTCAACATTAGGGATAATCTTCTTGATGTTCAGTAGATATGGTCAATAGAAGCACGCCCATTTGCGTGCACGAATTGATCATTTCAAGTGTGTATATTTCAATGCAGCATCATAATAGATAACTTCATATAAATAAGGAAGTTAAATCGAATACATCTCGATCGTTTACGACAGATATATATTTAGAACGATTCGTTATTAATAAACAATTATTTGTCGATAAGTATTTAATATAATATACATAATAGCATTATATTTTGTCGATAAGTAGTATATTTGTTCAAACTTCAAAACTGCTTACTAAAATATCCAGAAATGATGTTGCAAAATTTTTATGTGATCGTAAGGAGTATGTATTGCACGTAATGTGACAACATATGCATGTAACAAGTATCAATCTAAATGACTATTAATCAGTAAATTTCTTCACAATTTAAACAACTTTGATCTCTCTTTTTTTTTTATCATTGAATCCATGATCGTCATAAATGATCGTCAGCTCAATTCGCGTCGCTGCGTTCAAATTTTGCGATCGATATTGAAGAGACCAGTGAAAAAAAATTCATCACCAATTAGAATCAGAAACAATCCTACGTTATTTTCAATTATCACGAATTTTTGCTTTCATCTATTATATTAAACACCGATCTTCTTTCCTATCCTATCTTTATCGTATCTTTTAATAAATATCCTAGCTCTGCCCATTATTTATCTATGAACCTTGACCTTCTTTTACTCATCACTGAGATTAATCAAACTTCCCACTCCAAAATTTTCCAGTTTCATCGACTCGTTAAACAGCCAATTTTCTCGAAAGGAAAATCAGATTTTATGTAGATTCACGTTCGAATAATTTTTCCCCTTTAACTTTGTATACTTATATAAAAATATAATTACTTATATTTATATATAAATACTTACATATAATAAATTTTTACAATAATATATTTATTATAATATAATAAAATTTATATATAATTAATTTTGTATATATAACTGGAATTTCATCTATATATCTATCACTTACATATACTTATATATAAATACTTATAATTACTTAGATTTATATATAAATATAATTTATATATATAAAATTTTTATAATATAATAAAACTTATATATAATTAATTTTTTATATAGTATAACTGGAATTTCATCTATATACCTATCACTTATATATAAGTACTTATAATTACTTATATTTATATATAATAAATTTTTATAATATAATAAATAATATATATAATAAAATTTATATATAATTAATTTTTTATATAGTATAACTGGAATTTCATCTATATATCTATCTATAGGATCTTTAAATTCTATTGTCATAGTTTTCATAATAAAAAGACTTTTCATGAAATCACGATCAAATTAACTTATCTTCAATTTGTGATCATATTCTGTCACGAGCTACTTGATTTCATCCAAGTTTCCGTGTCCACGTATAATAATTACGACCGCATAAATAATAATAAAAACAAATTGAACAACAAGATCAGCAGATTACTTCAACAGACCGCCGAATTTGCTTCTAGACATTCCAGACATTTCCAGACGTTTCCACGTGTATTCTTAGGGATTAGAATTCCGTGGAAACATATCGTTAAGGTTTGTTACATTTTTTTTTTTTTTTCTTTTTTTGGCAATAAAGTGCAAAGTTACATGGCAAAATGACCCAAGAATCTCACGTGGCAGTGTACGTTCATCGTTCACGGACTCGTGTCCTGACAGCACTCGAGGAAGGCTTCTTTCTTTTCCCCCAAGAAGACCGGAAGTCCATTAATCGGCTCACGTTACGCCATTTTTCATTCTGAGAAACATACTCGGAACGTCTCAAAAGATCTCCCTCACGAATGGTACATCTCTCTTTGTGCCAAGAAGCAGAAACGAACGATCGTAGACAACGTTCTCCCTCGATAGACAAAAGAGAAGAAGGATTTCTTGAAAGGAAAGTGGGTTTGTCTACCCACGTAACAGAGACACGACTCGAGCCTGTATTTCTCCAATACCAGTTCCGTATCGACTCGATGGAAATGTCAAAGCAACTGCTTAATGGACGAAGGCTGGAAAGATCGTACTCTGATATTCCGAGTCTGCGAATCGTTCCAAACGGGGAAAAGCTAAATTCAGATTGGCGCAAAGTCAGATTCTCAATAGGTTATCACGTAGTAATTTTGAGAATTTTGCGGCCGATTCGTTGAAGGATCGTTGGTGAACGAGAGCGAACGGATTTTTAGCAAAGAATTATTATTTCCTGTTACCACGAAAATTAGAGAAAGCTCTGTTCGTTTGTAACGTGCATTTCTTTCGTTCGTGATTCTAGCAACTTGTCACGATTCGTAATTAATTTCGTTATTTTTATCCAAAGGAAATTCTTTCGTTTGTAAAAAATGTCTGATTGTAAAGAATTCGCATATTCTTTCGGTGTTATTGTTAGTCAATTATGGCAGCATTTCATACGAAATGGAGGGCACAAAGACGAGAATGCAAGCAATAAGGTCGCGGCAAGAGCTTTTCAAGCGGCGTTAAAATCACGCGAGTGTTTTTTTGGAGATAGCTGTTTCGTTTGTATGAAAAAAAATGCAATGAAACAGGACAGAGAATGCTCTCGAGGTTTCATGGCGCTTGAAAGAAACCTGACGTTTTCAACGCTGAAGAGACAGCAAAGGGAATATAAGTTGCTCGCTAAAATTAAATTTCTCAGATGGACAATGCACTTAATTAAGCCAAGCATGCGAAGGCTCTCCGTTTTATTTGACTCTTTCGACGAAAATGAGAAGGAAAAGTTTCCAAGGCAGCCACATTTTTTTCTCTTTTCTCTCTCTTTCTAACATCAATCTTGGCAATAATTTCGTGAGAATTCAAAAATAAATTTTAACTATATACGGCAAGGGATCGTATTGTGTCGTTAAATTTTAAATTTTCTTTTAAGATCTCTTCCGTAAATTACTTTAAATTTTTACTGAAAATATAGACTAATAACTAATAATAAAATTATGTGTAAGAGGAAAACAATTGAATTAATTTAAATAGTGTGAATTCAACGTATATTACGAAGATAAGTCATTTTGGAGACTTGAATAAAAATAATAATTTACCAAAAATGATTAAAAAATAATTCGTTGGTAACTAATAAATGGAAGCTGGAAATAATTCAACTGACATGACACAAATTGATACTTCACTCGTCATTATCGCGAATCAATAATCTTAGTTTTATTCTTTATAAGTTCTCATTACGTATCTATAATTCATTTCAATTCAGAATGAATAGTGGTGACACGTGTATTTAATCCACGTGTTGCCACGCTACGCTATGAAATAGGTTGCAAACTAAATCATATCAGTATTATGAGGAGCTCTATGACGGATCTTGATGTCTGAAATATCAAAGAGTGAGTTTTGCTCATATTGTACACTCATTTTTTTATTCACAGCTTTTGCTTTCAGGACCATATTATCCTCTATGAGAGAGAGAGAGGATTGATATTATATTAATACGCATAGTTTCGGAAAACTTAAATAACTTTGCTTACAAGTGTCGATTCTATAAACTATATATATGTATATTTCAACGTACAATTTTTTAACTTGTTTAACTTAGAAAATATATTTCTTTTTCTACTTAGTAAGACACTTTCGTTTTGTAGGTTATTTATGTTTATTAGTAGCAAAAACTTCGTCACATTAAAAAAAAAAACATCTTTCTCTGTAACGCTAGTTGTAGTCTAAATATTTTCGTCATAAATATGAAAATTATGAGCAGATCAAATCACCAGTAGAAAACCATAATATAATAATATATTTTATCGACAGCTGCGGATTTTTATGCAAATTCGCATTTTTCGTAATTATAATATATAAAATATAATATAATATATATAAAAAATATATATAAAATATAATATAATATATATAAAAAATATATATAAAATATAATATAATATATATAAAAAATATATATAAAAATATAATATATATAATACATAATAAAAAAAAAGTAAAATTTTGCTGAAATATTGTTGTACGTGCCAAGTCTTACATAAAAAAATATTGTTCTTTAGACATTTCATATATATATATATATATATGCATTCTCTGTAATTTTACACATTAAAATTTCCTATGAAAATTCGCATAAAAATTCGTAGTCTACTCATCATCCTCTATTTATTCTCTTCTAACGCAACGTGTTTCTACATTTAATTTTTTAAAAAGTGGCCGTATAATTTTCAAAACCCCCCTCGTTTCATTCAATCTCACGTTCTTCAATACACGAAACTAAAGAATATAATGACAGGATCGAAGAACTAATCTAACCCTGAAGTTCCTTAGGAAGCGATAGCATCTCGATCTGACGATCAATTCGACAATGATCAATTTGTTGATGACAGGGAGAATGATCGAAGAAAATAATCGTGGCCGCTAGAAACACGCGGAAGATCAACAAACGAAAGTAGGCCAGGCAAACAGCCGTGCGATGCGACCTTTGCGTGTTAAGGACAATCAAGGTCATCGCGGGGAATTACCATTTCCTCTGTGTCGACGGTGTTTATCGAAACATCGTCGTCCGTCTAACAAATGTAGTTAATTATACGCAATTAAATGCGACGAATTCATGTTTTATGGTTCATCGAAATGTCTACGAAGCAAAATATCGGAATACTACCGAGGTTTAATCCTTAACAGGGACAAAGTAGACAGTTTGTACTGTTAGATAAATGATGTTACTCTAATTACACGTTCATCAATTAAAGAGATTGCCGCAATATCGATCCATTTTTGAGTAATTTGTACGAAGCAGATAAAATTAAATAACGTTATGAATTATAGAAAAAAAAAAAAAAAAAAAAAAAACACGTATTATAAGATTGATTGTAGATCTATTAATTGTTAGTTTAAGATAGTGCACCATTAACTTTAGTGTTAGTATAAAATTATGTACCATTAATATTTACGTAGATATTTCTCAAGGCCGAGAGGTAAGAAAATAAATTACTATCGAAATCGGACTACTTTTTGTTGCGTATTATAAATTCACAGTTACCTGATAAACATAGTAATTTTTCTTTAACTTTTACGTATTGAACGTATATCGTATTTTTTTTTTTTTTTTCTCTCTACCAATAACAGATAAATTTAAACACGAAGCAAGATATACGTATAATTGTATAAAGAGAAATCAGGATGCAAGATGCAAGAGAGATAACGCGCGCACGATATGCAAAGCGAAATGTTCAAAAGGATATTGCAAAGGTATCTACTGTAATTACAGTACAGGTTTCCCCAATGGTCACGAGTGGGCGCGAAACTTTTATCCGCAGAACATGCGGGTCAATATTGGCCCACCAATTATTTCCCGCAGGGGTAAAATTCAATTTCGCCCGTGCGTTTCTGCATTGAAATTCGGATTTGAAACCACAGTGTCGCATATTAATTTTGGCTTCGATCCCGGTGTTACGGACCAGCGCGATGTTTCAAGCGAGCTCGGTTCCCGCCGTGATCAAACATTGACATAACCTTAATGCCGATGTCGCGTCCCAGGTTCCGGAAGAAACCGGATGACGCGACGTTCGATACACGTTTTATTATTCCACGTCCAGACGGCTGCCCCCTTCGAGTGCACGACGAAATTAACCTTTTGCCCTTGCGAACCTTTGTTAGCATCCATCGGCAACTTATTTTTACGAAATGGCGAGTAATCGCTTCAAATAAAACCACGTAGAAAATATATTAATATATTATATTGTATTATATTACTATACTATATTATTATAGAATACTATATAATACTAATACTATACAATATTATATTACTATACTATATTATCATATAATATAATATAATATGATATAATATAGTATAGTACAGTACAGTATAGTATAGTATAGTACAATACAGTATAGTACAGTATAGTATAGTATAGTATAGTATAGTATAGTATAGTATAGTATAGTATAATATAATATAATATGATATAATATAGTATAATATAATATAATATAATATAGTATAATAATATATTGTAATTATAGTAGAAAATAATTATTCTGTTCAAACGTGAAATTTTGTTGATTATGTTTAACATGTGTAACATGTGACATCGTTTGAAGTAATTGCCAACGTGCATTTTAAGTTTGTTAGACCAGGTATAGTATATAGGAGTTAATGATACATACTTTCAATCTCCTGAAAAATAATTTTCTTCGCTATTTTATGAATTTTCGCAAAAAGCAACAAGAATTGTTCCAGTAAGTATCGCTGAAATTCTTTTATTCTCCTTACATCTACTATTGTATCATACAATACCAAACGTATATATTTTATAATTAACAATTATAAAAAAGCTATTATCCGAGCTATTAGCCAGATTCAAGTACTATGTTCCCTTAAAAGAGACAATCGAGTGGAAAAAGGTTAAATATTGACGAGACAATTGACAGGCGACCAAACTTGCAAAGTTGCAAAATGTACGAGATTTTGAAAAATGAAACTGAACTTTTGTTATGAACGGTTTCAGTATACACTGAACTGTTAAGTCATTTCTATTTAAATCAGTGAGTTAATCATCGCTGACTGAGTCTTTTTTTTTTTTGCACGTGTGTGCATAAAGTATACGTAGTATATTACATAGTATCGTATACATTATATAAATACATACATTTTTGTGCCAATTTTATTAATTTTTCTACATATATTACAAATTATTGCACGAACGTATTTTAGAGATATAATACTATTGGGCCAATTGAAAACGTTACATTTTATATACAAATCGCTGAAAAGCTGTGTTCTTCGACTGCATAAATGAAAATCTAGAGCATTATTTTTTAAAAATTACTTTGAAATCCATTGCTGTTTACGCTATCTTCTCGTAATAAATAAATTCGTGAAAAATGAACCTTTCCTGAATTGCGCACAATCGCGTATACATTAAAAAGATAAGTTGTTGTTTACCGTAGAAAGACCTTTGGCTCGGAAGATATTTTAA